CCCCGCCCCGCCCGCCTTGCCGCTCCCCGCCGGGCCCGCCGGGCCGAGCCCTCGGCCCATCGGCACGGCCGTGTCCCTCCTCCCTCCTCCGCGTGTTCGCGTTGTTGTCATTGTCAGTCAGCAGCCAGTCGACAGCGCCTCCGGTCGTCCGTCGCCTCGCCCGCCGGCCCGTCCGTCCTTCGGTGGGTGCATTTGCGCGTGCGCTCTCTCCGCCCCTCGCGACCCCCGTGCGAAGCGTGGACCTTTCGTGCCGCCGCGAGTGTCGGAACGACCCTGTCTCGTCGTGGACAACCTCTCCATCAGTGCATGTAGCTGCACACCCCGTCCGGACGACCCCTGGACCAGCACTCCCTCCGAGATGTAGGGGAGCAGGACCCACAGCTGACCGACCACATGTCCTGGACATGTCCGAGAACGCACCGGAGCACGCCCTGCTCGCCGTCTTCGTCCCGCAGGTGAGCCGGGGCTCTGCTCCAACCCAGGATCCCGCGTCGAGCAAACGTTGGCGCTCTGTCCGACAAGACACAGATAACGCCCGCGAGTTCTGCTAATTCCAAACTTTGAATCATCGCCTCCTCGTCCAACCCGTCGCGGCCTTAGCAAAACAGAGATTAGACAGAAGGAAAAGTGGACGTCCGGGTTCGCGGTGGCCTGAATATTGCGCATGATGTGCACCCGTTCGATAGGACGGCGCCGCGGTGAACCCCTTGCGCCTCTTTATCGGGTCGCGTCACGTTGCGTGTCTGTCATCAGTCGCAAAACGGGCCGCGGCTCACCCGTGCTCACCTGTGCTCCGCGCGCCGCCCGTGCACCGCCGAGGCTTCCTCGCCAGGGGCCTAACTGACCTGTCAAGGCGCCCGCCCCCGCCCCTCTGGGCCCCCGAGGGGGAATTAGAGAGTAAGTAGAGCAACAGGAGAGGGAGAGAAAGAGAGAGCAATCCGCAGGGGGGATGAGGGAGGGGAGGGTCAGCAGCAGCGGCCGCCATCCATCCGGGAGCAGGAGCAGTGAAGGGTGGTCCTGGAGCGGGCCGGGCGGCGCACTGGCCGCCCCCCGTCGTGGTGCATGACGGACCGTCCCCCAGCACGTAGCGGGGCCGGCGGGCCCCCGGCGGCCTGGACAGATTTATGGCCCACCCTTAGGCCGGCGTGGCGTGGCGGAGTAAGGTGCAAGGGCGTGGTGGGGAGGGGCGGCGGGGCGGGGTGGGGGGTGGGGCCGCCGCTATTCAGCGGGGCTGCCGTTTGTGCGGCGCACGTACCCCCGTCGGAGCAATGACATTGCGCACCCCGACGGGTAGGGCTGGGTCGGGCAAGCGAGTCAAGTGCGACCGGAGGTGTTTATTTTCACGAAGGAAAAAAGATACGCGGTGGAAATTTCACCGGCTCTTTTGTGATTAAAACTTGAATAATTGCGTCTGTACTCCGACGTCACTCGCTGGCCGCGCCGGCGGAGGGGCGGCGGTGCCGGAGAGCGGTGGTGGCGGCGGCGGCGGGTATTGATCCCGGGGAGCGGGCGAGAACCGCGCGGCGTGGGGGCCGAGCGAGCAGGCCGACGGCCTCAACGGCGTGCCGGAGCCGGAGGGAAGGGGCGCCTCGCGAGAGGACGACGAGACCCCCGAGGAGCGCAAGAGCGTCAACCGGCGGGACTAGAAGAACCCGCCCGCTCGTCAGAAACCTCTCGGAAGAGGGATGTGTGTTTTGCTGCTTGAGGGCGCTGCCAAGCCAGCGTTGACGTTTCGCTAGGCCCCGCGACGGAGCAGCGACACTTCCACCGTTAGGGGGGTGGCTCACCGTGCGTGAGCTTGTCCCCTGCCGTAGCCCAGCGGGGCGCCCGGTCGAATTTGGGGGGGTTGGCGAGGAGGAGGAGGAGCAGCCAAAAGTGAAGGGGGAGGGAGCAACCCCGAGGGGGAGGCGCGCGCCAAAGGGCCTGGCGTAATGCTGCAGCCCGAGGCCCGGGTTAGGTTTCGCAGCCCCCCTGCCCAGGCGGGCCCAGGCGGAGGGGCGTAAGTGCCGTTTCAGGCGCAACACGCCACGCAGGCGCCCTTGCGGCCCTTTCGCGGCCCTACCCCTCGGGTTGCGCTGCCCTGCCGCGGGGGTCGATGAGACGTCTGCCTCTGAGGAGGGGGGGGGGGGGTATGTGAGCAGCATCCGCGCCTGCAGCGACCGCGCACAGGGGCACTATATTGCACCATTTGCGCACGATTGGCGATGAGTCCGATAAGTACTACTACTACTCCGCCCGCGCCCCCCCGCCACACTCGCGTTCTTCTTCAGTCTCGCCGCCTCGTGTTTTTATCATCTTTCCTTTTCGTTTTTTCCCCTTCCCCCCCGCGACTCCTCTTCCTGTCGCGCGACCCTGCGACTGGCGCCGCTCCTCGCCACTCCGCGGGGCGCAGCAGCGGCAGGGCAGGATGCGGCCCGGCCGCCGCGCCGAATTACTCTGCACTCTTCATAACTCTGCGAAAATTAGTGGTTGTCGTTGCTTAGTTGGAAATGTACGCGCACGCTCTATTTCTGTACGCGATGTGATGCCATCACTTTCGCAATCACCACGCGATTTGTACCGCGTGTGCCAGAAGAGTAGAAACCCCACAGTATTTGCGGGAGGAGGGGTCGTGCGCCTTGCGGGCGGCGAGAGTAGGCAAGCCCGCACCACTGGGGTGTTTGCTCTATGGTACAGCCCGGTATTTATTGTCCAGCCTACGAGGACCGAAGGGGGTGAACGACCTTTGACAGAGCAGCACCCATACAGCAGCACAGCGTCCTGCTCTTTCAGGCGTGATCGGCTTGATGGCAGCTGGCTCTTTTTGATCTGTTTATTATCGGGCATTAGCCCCCCACCCCCACCCCCTCCTCCCCGCAGACCCTTCCGAGCAGCTTTTCCTTCCCCTTTCAATGTAAACACGCCCCCGGTGCTCCTGCCGGTCTGGAGCAAACGGGGTAAACAGTCCACCGGCCGCGCGCGGGGTGGTTACGAGGCGGTGCTCGCCAGGCCCAACCCCGCCCCGCCTCGCCCCGCCCAGCCCAGCCCCGCCGGCCCAGGCAGTGACCTACTTCGGCCCCGGCCTGACTCCCTTCTCCCGCCCCCTCCCTAGGCTCGCTCGCGGGGGATGGCCTGGCCTGCCTGTGCAGGGCAGCAGGGTGGTGTGGGGCTGACAGCCCAGCTCAGCCTGTGCCCAGCCGGCGTCAGCGGGGTGCTCGGAGGGAAATCGTTTCACTGGAAAATTATTACGACAAGTTACGCGACGGGCAATGCACGCTTGGCTAGCATGGCCGCGCGGCGTGGCTCGCCATCTGGCCAAGGATCCACCAAATTCGTAAAAATGAATGTTTCCCGGCATTTCTCTGGTGTGATTGTGTTGCCCCGCACGCGTCGCCCGTCACGTCAACTGGAGCGCGACCAATCACGGCTCCGACACATCAATACTCTCCTGACTGAGGCAAGGTGGCCCGTGGCCCGAGGCGTGGAGGGGCGGGGCGGGGCGGGGCGGGGCGGGGCGGGGCTGAAGCTTTGCCGAAGCCATTCATGGGCAGTGTGTGTCCTTGACAAGAGTGCAGCACGTATTTGTTTTATTTTTCCATTTATTTATTAGTGTCGTGGCTGCTGCCTCGGGCTGGTGCTGCGCTCCCCCGAGGCCCTGTGACCCTGTGTTGTATGCACCTCATGCATGTGCCATAGCCATACTCTGATCGGCCCTGCAGTGCTGATCTTGAAGAGCATTATAATACAGGACACGGCACGCTTCTGTCCTTTACAGAACATACGCGGTTACGTTGGTGGATCGCTCCGCGTTCCGCTGCTGGGACCAAATGACAGCCGGCGGTGTGGTGCAGAGCGGAGTCATGGACCAAGGCGGAGTCGCCAAGCCCCCCGGCACGACACGGCGCGGTCCTTTAGTTATCACGGGCGCCATGCGCCCGCGGTGCCCGCGGCTCGCGGAGCGCGTCCTGCCCGCGCTAAACGATAAACGCTTATCAATTGTGTGTGCAGCACCCACCCTGGTGGTTGTCCCGCGGCCGGCGCCCCCCCCCCCCCCCCCCCCCAGATCCAGAGTAATTTGATTCTGAATCACACACACTCGCGGTATTATCAGCCCGCCTATTGCAACAGAGCTCGCGCGGTGCGGTGCCCCCCCCCCCCCGGGCCCATAATGTGTACCTCCGAGGAGCCGCTCACGTGCACACACAGCCCTGCGCCCGCACGGACCCATGTGTGTGCAACAAAGGGACTAGAAGTAAAGGATGTACACACATGTAAGTCCACATTCGGGGCAATGAGCGTCGCCGTGCTCGCGCTCTCCTCTTTGGCCTCGCGCGGTTGGCACTGAGGTGTTGGCTGCGAGAAATATGGAGACTATCCTCTGAGATGCATGCGCAGCATGATGCGTCCGGAAGGATGCCCGGTGCGGCTGCTTGGCCCGCGGCGGGTGCCGGGCACCGAGCCCATGGACCATCGCATGCAGCAGCCGGTGAGAGAGGAAAGGCGCTCCATAACATGACCAGTAGCCAGGCGGGGCCCGGCGGACCTGCTATGGTGCTCACGCACCGCGACCTTGCGCGGGGGGCTCCTCCGGATGTGTGCTCAGTCTCGTCGGGTCGTGTTTGACCTGTTGATGAATTTGTAACCGAGAGTGCATCCATGCAGTCTGCGGGGGGAGAACAAGCAGTGGCTGAAATTCCATACCCCCGCCGGGCCGATGCTCCGCGCTGGCGGTGCGTGGCGGGGCGCGGCGAGGGGCTTCACCTGCGTGCGGGAGCAACTGGTGTCGCCGCGCCCCGCCGCGCCCCGCCACGCCCCGCCGCGCCCCGCCCAGTCACGCCCGGCATGCGCCCGACCCTTTCGCTATCGAAATCTGTGAACGATTTTGTAGCGCGTCGTCTCGAGAGAGGAAATCCGAGACGCCCTTTCCTCCGCTTACGAATAAAACCCCGAAACGCATCCGTGTTCGTGTTGTAGACCGTTCCGTAAACGGTGTGACCCGGAGCTGCTCAGGGCCAGGGCCACCCGGCACGAAAGCTAGCGCAAAGTGAAGCCGAGCCTCTCCTGAACCGAACCGAGATACCCCCGCGGGGCTGCAGCTTGCAGTAGCTCGCGGTGGGGCATTCCGAGGCGCGTAACCCACAACTTCCTGCACTGACCCCTTAACCCTCCCACCAGAGGTAAACAAAACAGACCCGCGCGCAGGTCCGCGAGTTTGACCCACATCCCGCTCGCGTCCCTTGCGCGGCCCCGCGCGCGCGCCGCGCACCGCGTCTTTTTATAAACGGCGGCGTCCCGGCCCCTCGAAGGGAGCGTGAGGTGAGTCAGTCCCCCCCGCGGCCCGCAGCAGGCTGCACAGACCTCGCAGACCCCCTCCGCGCGCCGCCTCGCCCTGCACTGAGAGTGAGACGTGCCAACGTGCCGCATTTTGCAAACTCGCGCAAAACAACTCCCTGTATGCGGCCTGACCCCTGACCTC